TATACTAGAAATATTAGTATCGAAAGAATACTTCATTATTGGTAATTATATAAAAAGACCTGCGACATACTTGCACTTAGCGCCATACCTGCACTAGCCCATATGACAATTTTAAAAACAAAAAATATAAAAATTATAATAAAAAAGAGAAAACAACTCATTATTTTTTAAATGAAATTTCTTAAAGCAATTAAATCTTTTTTGACCAATAAAACACATTATAAACTTGTAGAACCATCCTTTTGATTTTTCTTTCTCATAAATCTATTCAAGAATAATCACGAAACAACAAAACATCAAACGTATTTTTAAACCAAACATCATTTCAATAGTAATAATGGGCTAAAAATTTATTAGAAAAACAATAAGAATGATGAGATATGTTTTTTCTCAAACACATCTTTTTAAAACACAATAAACATGACATATCATAACTCCAATCCATATGATTCTATTATAATGATACTTGAACGTTAAACTTATGTTATAAATGGTAATATAATGAGAATAAAAATTTTAACTTAAAACATAACCCACAACAAAAAAATTAACAACACTTGTCATTTAAAATGACACATCTTTTCATTCAAAGTCTGAAAGTGTTTTTAATCATATTTTAATTATTTTGGCTATATAAACAGGATTATTCCGAAACTTAAAGTGATAATAAATACAAAACATAATTGGTAATTCCAAGACACATAAAAACTCTTGAATATATAGCTTTGACTGACTACAAGTTAAAGGTTGGTTTTATACGAAGAATAAATAATAACAATAACTTAATAATCAACACAAAACGTTATAAAACATCATTTTGTGCTGATCATTTGATTAACAAAAATATATTGAATAATCACAATGGTTGAGAGAAATTACAAAAAACAAATAAAATATCATTGCTCATTAATTAGAAATATTAATAAATTTATTAAAATCAAATAATAAACGTGATAAAAAAATCAATCAAAAAGCGAACAAGAGACTCAGAACATAACAAATAAAAAATAATTTCCATTTTCAACAACACTGAATATGAAAATTGTTCAAGTGAATGAAGAAACTGACTTCTTGATATCAATTAAGAGTGCAGTATATGATGGCTTCAAGTCGTCGTCGTTTAAAAATACTTGAAAAAACAAAAATGAAACAATTAGAGATTTAACCTTAATAAGGTCATCTGAAATTAACATTTATTGGGCATGATGTATTCAATTTAGACAACATTTAATATAATGTAATTGACTACTAATTGTGTTTAATTCCATAAAATTTACTTTTTTATTAAAAACGTGTTTTATTTTTGTTTTTTGGTTATTGTTGTGTTGTTGTGTGTTTTAGTTTGTTTTGTTTTAAAGTCCAATAATTATCAAATATTGTTCATTAAGTTATAATTTATTACATGTTTACTATTAAATAAATAAATATTTAACCCATAATTTATGTTTTAAATACATAATCAATTCAAAAGTTAAGAACATTTCAATAGTGTAATTGATTTGTTCTTAAGGTGGGTTTGGTTTCAATCGTTTTTTAATAAGTTATAATATAAATGCAATTATAAATAAAAAATTATTAAAATTAATTTGTTTAAATTTCTGATTTAATAAAAATAGTACATTGTTAATAACTCATTAAAATTATAATAAACGTATACATACAAGTTTAAGTTCTGTATTCTATTTGTTTTCGAACATCTTATTTCCATAAGATGTTATAAAACATTTTTTCAGTTTTTATTTTTAAATTGAATTATATTATTAAAATAAAATGTATTAAATTTTGACATATTTTGTTTATTAAATTGAACAAATATATCCCAAAAAAAGAATTTAATATGAATAATAACAACTTTCCCAAATATATGCAAGTCTTTTAAAAAACGTTTTTTATTTGATTTATATAAATTCGGAAAATGTACAAATTTACACATCATTTTTTATTATAACTTTATAAAAAATAAAACTAACGAAAGACCATTATATGCTTTAATTAGTTTTATAAATTGTTTAAATTCAAATCTTTATGTTATCCAAGCGAACTATTAAATGATTTTTGTTTTCTAATACTTTCTTTTCTTCATAAATTTTAAAATGAAATTTTAATTTTCCCAAGTTTTTTTCCATAAACTTTTCTTTTTATTTAATCATTTTATCTCATTTTGTCCATCTTTTTTTGTAAAAAAAAGTATTACCATGTAAGCCAGTGCATGTATGGGGCAAGTCTTAAATATGATAAATAATTTAACCTTCTATAATCAAAATATATTAAAATATTTAGTATTTATTATATATCAATTAATAGAAGATTAAAATAAAATAAAAACAAAAACAAATCAGGTTTACGATTTCACACCGACACCAGTTCACATTAGTTCAATATATTATTTTTATAACAATAACATTTTTAAAAATCAAAAATAAAATTTTGTTTTTTAATATCACTAATTTTTAAAACATGATTACAATTGATTTGTAATTTATTTATTCCAATTATTTTTTAACTTTTCGAGGACTGAAATTTTTTTCTTTTTTTTTCAAAAAAAATTCAAAAAATAATTTCACTTTTCCAAAAAAATGAAAATAATGGCGACTTTTCATGAACAATTTAGAACGCTTTTTGACTTATTTGATAAAATAGTTCAACTCAAATTCAAACTTTTGAATTATTTATAAAACATTTCATCATTCATAAACTCAAATTAATTGGGTTTTGTTAAAGATTCGTCCTTCAATCAATAAAATATATAATTTAACAAATTAATATCAGTAATATAAATAATACGAAAATGAACTGTTTTTGTAAACAAATAAAAATGTTAATAAAAATTGATTAAAGAATACTATCAGATATTCAATTTTTTTAAAAAACAAAATAAAAAACACTTAAAAAGTGTGCAAATTAGTGGGTTTGATATAACCAATAAGATTGGTTCAAACCAAAATAAAATAGAAACATAACAAAAATATTGTTGTTGAAATAAAAAATGGATTCCACTCAAACTAAAAATACTTAGAGAACCAAATAACATCAAAATATTACGATAAAAACCCATTGTTTACTATTAATTTTGTTTGTTATTCATCTAACACAATAATAACATTAAATTAATTATCTTATATGGTAAAACAACGCTATAAAACATCAATTTAAGTCGAGAAAAATAGCGGTTTTGGATACATTATACAATGCGTGACAAAAGAATAATAAATTGTATAGTAATTTTAATTATAAACAAACTAAATATCAACTTGTGAATAATAAAAAAGATTGTAGAATTATTAGAATTGTATGATTTATTTTATTAATAATAATTTAAAGGAAACCAAATGAACACCAATATAAATATAATTAAATTGAGCATAGCATGAATGGTAAAAGAAAAAGATGACTTTTACTATTAATAAAATTCGTTTTTTCTGTTTTAACTTTCAAAAAAATCGGTTTTTCATGAATTCAGTTCAAAAAACGTATTTTTTTGTAAACTCTTAGGCAAATTTAATCACAATTACAACACAAATGTGTAATATTTCCAAAGCCATCCACACAAAAGTGGTCTATCACGTTAACACTCTTTAGTGACGCAAACATCACTAATTTGATGTTCGTGTATTAAAAAGTAATATAAACATTATATTAATGTCATTTGTAATCAAAAGGAAATACATCACAAATTTAATGTTTGTATTTATTTTTGTAAAATTAACAAAAAATATTTAATAGTTTACAAATGATTAAAATGAATCTAATTTTTATTTTTAGATTAGCATTTTGGACTTCCTCCGCGTGATTTACTACTTAAAGTTGGATCGATAGTTATACTTTTAAGAAATATTCATCCTGTCATTGGATTATGTAATTACAGGGCTCTCAAAATGTTAAACCCCCGTCCCCACGTGGCAAAATTCGAGAATTGGATAACATTTAAATATAAATAAACAACCCAAAGACAAAATAATTTTACTTTTACTTTAAATTATTTTTAATTCAAAAAACACACAAAAATCAAAATAATGACAAAAATAAGATATAATTACAACACAAAAAAAAACAAAACAAAAAAATCTAAAAGCATTTTTCACTATAATTACCAAATCCACTATCAACCTTACAATGTCGGTAGAGTAATTAAAATAACATTTATTTTTAGACGATTTAAAAAATATGAAAAAAAAACTTAAAAATTCAAGTGTGATTCACTGTTAACAAATTCTCGTAAATTGAGACTTTACGATATCAAAAATTGATTTGTATTGTTCTGATATGCAATTCAAACTTGTGTATATTTCAAATGGTGCGTTGACATTATTAATTCAATGATATGATTTTTGTTTTTTTTATTTTTTCGAATTAAGGAAATGTTTTAAAAATGACAAGGGTGCCATTCTGGGATTTTTGGTATAATTGTTTTAGTTTTGTTATTCATCCGCAATCCTAAGATTAACCAAATAAAAATTCAAACAAATAAAACTTATTATTTTATGATAGTTATTAATATAATTATTATTTTATTAAGTTAAAACTATACAAACAAAAAATTCTTTAACTATTAAACTACAAAGCTCAAAATTAGTTTATTAATTGTTTTTTTTTCTTATATAAAACCATTACCATTCAATCTTTCATCTATTATTATCATCCTTTTTTGTTGGTCTGTTCGGATGATAAATATTCTGTAGCAGCTTTCAAGATAGAAAACCCAGATTTACAAAGAGCGGATG